AGCAAGTTCATGTTTGCTTATGACTTAGGGAGGCCACCGTCTTGCCTCTCTCTGAGTTCTTGGTGTTACAGGGATGAGACACTGTCTGGCAGCGAGCTGACAGCAAAACTTGAGCCTGCCTTTCTCTCTGGACTGCGCTGCGCCCAGCCACTCATCAGGGCAAAGTTTTTCGAGGTTTTTGACAACTCCATGAAACGTCGTGTCTACGAGCGCCTGCTTTATGTGACCTGTTCGCAGAACTGGGAAGCCATGGGGAACCACTTCTGGATCAAGCAGTGCATTGAGGTAGGAGGCCTTGGCTCACATCTGTGGCGGGGGCAGCTGTGGGTTTCTGAGTGGGGGCTCTAAAGCTAGGAGATGTTCACACACACTAAGACAAATTAGGAATCTCCAGCATAAGCCTGCTTCTGATCTCCCAGAGGAAATCAAGACTTTAGCACAAGCATTCATCTGAAGTGTTTTGGGGCTTACTTAAAATACTTTATCAGAAGGTTGAACAGTATATCTTACTTTGTAGGCGAAGATTCATTTTTCCTTCAAACATAAAAATGTTTAAATTCCGTCTGCTTGCCCTAGAAAATAAAACATGTGTATTGTGAATGTCAACTCCCGTTGTTCTTTTCTTTTCTTTTTTTTTTGTTTGTTTGTTTTTTTAAGACAGTCTTGCTCTGTTGCCCAGGCTGGAATGAAGTGGTATGATCTTAGTTCACTGCAACCTCTGCCTGTTTAAACAATTTTTTTGTTTGTTTGTTTTTTTAAGACAGTCTTGCTCTGTTGCCCAGGCTGGAATGAAGTGGTATGATCTTAGTTCACTGCAACCTCTGCCTGTTTAAACAATTCTTGTGTCCCAGCCTCCGCATTAGCTGGGATTACAGGCATGTGTGACCACGCCCCACTAATTTTTGTATTTTTAGTAGAAATGTGGTTTCACCATGTTGCCAGGCTGGTCACAAACTCCTGAGCTCAAGTGATCGCCCACCTTGGCCTCCCAAAGTGCTGGGCTTACAGGCATGAGCCACCACACCCGGTCTCCGTTATTCTTCAAGCATGAAAGTCAAGCAGCCAGGCCAGGCCCTGACCACACTGTTGGTTTTGGTTCCTTAGTATGAGTCGTCGGGTGCTGGCAACACAGACATGTTTAACATGCTCGGTGTTATATTATAAAAGTGAGGTCCAGACCTAGAGTAGGATTGGTGTTTCATGGAAGGCAGGTCAGATGTTCTTTGAATTTCCAGCAGGATTGTGGTGAGCCCCCAGTTTGCTAGAGGTTCAGCCTGTGGCTCACTCATCAGCCTGGGTTTGCTATGGCAGGTTACCAGTGCTGTGCAAGTAGTTCTTGTCTGTTTACCTGGAGTGAATGAAACCAGGTCACCACGAACTGTGTCTCCTGAGACAGCTGAGATAGAAGGCAGATGAATTCTCCTTGATGAAAAGAGGACTTTTTTTTTCCCCTGGAAGTGAGTCTTTTTTATTCACCGAATAAACACAACATGGATGGTAGTAGGGCAGAGCTGGTGACAGTATCCTCCCACTGTAGTTACGATGTTCAAATCAGACCTACATAACTGTGGCTTCTTTTGATTCTTCCAACTTTTGATTATCTGTATAGAGGTTTTTCTAAATTGAAACAAAATCACTTGTATCACCCCTACTCACCTATTTACTCAGTTTTTGGGGAATAACAGCTTGGACCAAAATTTTTAAAAGGTGATAGGCTAAAAGACCAAAAAATGATTTACTTAAATAAGCTATGAAGCTCAATCCAGAATGGCTTAACATTATTCATTTTCTTCTCTGAACATCTTACTTAAGTGCTTTATTAGGGCTGCTAGCTCAGGGTTCCCACCACATGCATCAATCTGTTTATAGGCTTTAGATTCAAACTCTGTAAGAGTATTACCAGTGTACTCAAAAGAGCCTACATCCTCAAGGTAATGTACACAGTACTTTTTAATGTCTATGTTTTCTGTTCTCTGGTGCAAGGTACTCTGCACCTAGGAGCTTTCAGGCCTTGACCAAATAGCATGAGTAGTAGGAAGTAGTTGTGGCGCTGGTCTCAGGAGACCCTGCTAGCACGTTTCTCGTTTGTGCTGAATGGGCGCTTTCTTGGTGCTTGTGCAACATGCATTTGGAATTTTGCCCATGGCCATACCTACTAAGTAAGAGTTCCCTACTCTTCTATCACTTGTGCAAGAGACCTTCCAACTGCTGGTTAGTTGCCAGGCACTGGATCAGGTGCTAAAAATACAAAGGCAAGACACTGGCTGTGGCAGGTCCATATGAATCGGTCCAGGGAAGGGCACAAGCCAGGGGGTCCTCGACTCCCTTTTCTTTGCCCTGAGTATCTGCTCCCTCACCGAGGGTTACAGTTCAGGGCCCACTGTCAACCGCCATCTCTCATTAGGACAGTGGGAGCTGTTTCCTTAGTGTTCACCCACCTCCCTTCCTACTGATAAGTTTTCTCTGTTGTTACAAAATTATCTTGGAGAATAAAGCAGATCACATTACTCTTTCCATTGTGCGTGACATAAAATCCAGCCTCCAGGCTCTGGTCCCCAAGTGACTGGTCCCTCACCTCTCTCTGCATCCCCATCCCGTGCCTCTCTCCCTCTGTCGGTCTCCAGTACACTGGCCTTCCGTGTTCTTGAACTCACCTCACTCTTGCCACTCAGGCTAATGTGCAGCTCCCTTTAATTCTCCGTCAGTCCACCGTGTTTCCTGGCTGTGTTGCCACAGTGAGCACATGTCTGTGATGTGTCCTTCCCTCTGACACTTCAGCTCCATGAGGCCGGGGATGCCATCTCTGTGCAGTCGACAGACGAATCTACAGGGCCTCCGCGGCACCCTGTGGACGCTGAGGAAATATTTGCCCAAGACACCAAGAGTGGTGTGGCCAGGCAGTGTGCGCAGGACCCGTGGGGAAGCACAGTGCGGCAGGGAGTGGCCCAACTGCAGAGGCAGGCAGGGGCTGCAGCACATCACAGAGGGGCTCGCAAGTCACATGGGGAATCTTCACTGTCACCTGAGGCTGTAGGAAGCCATGGGTGGGTGGGCCAGGGTAAAGGGCCACTGTGTGGAAAGAGTTGGGTCCAAGAGAGCGGTCTGGGGGTGAAGTGGGAGGTTTCACACAGGTGGGAGCAGGCACCTGCCTAGGTGTTCAGGAGGTAAGAGTGGCAGGGCCTGCTGTGTGCTCTGAGTGAAGCAGAGGTCTTCTGTGTGGGGATGATGCCTTGGAGGGGACAGAGAAGAGGAAGCCCGCCTAGTCAGGGAGAGGTGGGGAAAGGTGCTGAGATCAGACTTGGACCTGCAGAGTCAGAGGTGCCTCAGTGAGGGGCATCTGGGAGAGAAATCGGGACGCCCCAAATGCCACGCGCACACCTTGGGTCTGTCTCCTTTCTGTACCCCTTGCAGCTGCTCCTGGCCGTGTGTGAAAAGAGCACCCCCATTGGCACCAGCTGCCAAGGAGCCATGCTCCCATCCATCACCAACGTCATCAACCTAGCCGACAGCCACGACCGCGCCGCCTTCGCCATGGTCACACACGTCAAGCAGGAGCCCCGGGAGAGGGAGAACAGTGAGTCCAAAGAGGAGGTGAGGCTCCACTCCACCGGCAGAACCCCCATCCTCTGGAATAAGTTTTTGTATCAGCTTTAGATTCTTTTAGGGTATGAATAAGGTATAAAAACATGTCTACCTGAAAGCTCCGAATGTGGTAACTAAGTTCTGCCAGATTTTTTTTAGTTAGAATTGAGAAGCAGCTTGCACTGCCATGTGGTTTTGAGATAGATCCCTTTACCATGAGCTAGTACTGCTGAGAACAGAACATTTTCCTGTGCTGTGATGTTTCTCTCCTGGTGAGAAAAGCCCATGTTCAGTCACAGAAAGCACTGCTTGGGGGAGTGCTGCCCATCGCACAGGGGCTGGGGCACTAGTTGGTTCCTCCAGCAGTCTGCTCAGAACCCGTGTCTCTGCCTAGTCCCAGGACGGGCAGCAGGGAGCCTTTGCTCCTCCAAGAACCCATACCAAGGCTGATGCTTTAGTCTTGGTGGCTCTCTGTGCGCCATGAAAAAGTGGCTGCCACTGTTCCTGACAGGGATTTTTATAGGCTGTGTGTCTCCTTAAGGTCATTTGTTTTTGGAGGCTCAGTCTGTGTAGAGCGTTGTGTCTTAGGAGACAGTCACCCCGGACTGCAGGCGGCTGCTGCACCTTCTTTGCTCTTAAATGGTGTTGCATGCCCTCTTTCATGTACAGGATGTCTACTCATCAACAATTATGAATTAAATTTTTTTCTACTGTTGCTAAAACAGATTATCTGGTCATTTGGTCTTTTCTTTCTGTAATCTTCCTGTATGAAGTAAATTGCCAACTCTGAAGTTCTTCATTTTCAAGGGCATACACCAAATGGTTGGTACCTGACTTCAGGGAATAGTTTGATTCTTGACTGACTTCTCCAAACCTTCAGACAGAAATAAGGTGTATTCCTCTTAGGGAATGGTCATATATAAAACATAGCTCTGATGACACACTCCGCCGTGGCCCTGAGGGTATTCTCAGTCTGAGCAAGCCAGGCAGCTGGGCGCCTGTATTGCATTTGGAGAAATCATAGGCTAGAATTCCTATTAATCGTCGTCATTTTTACCATTTAGAGTTTACTCTTTTAATAAAATGTGCTTTTCACAACCCAAATATGAAAGCACAATGGTGGCTTCTTTATAGTCATTTTTAAAAAGAGAGAGATCTGGTCTACTTAATCTGGGCTTTGTTTATTTTAGGATTGAAGATTATTTAAATACTTCCAGGAAACAAGGACAAATTTTATTTGCCAAAATTGTAAAAAGAAGTCTACAGGAGGTGTGTTTGTTGGGTTTTCTTTAAGCCTTTGACTTTCTGGTTTTGCTTTCTGCTTTGTTTCTTAGGATGTAGAGATAGACATTGAACTAGCTCCTGGGGACCAGACCAGCACGCCCAAAACCAAAGAACTTTCCGAAAAGGACATTGGAAACCAGCTGCACATGCTAACCAACAGGCATGACAAGTTTCTGGACACACTCCGGGAGGTGAAGGTCTGTATGCAGCTTGGAAAGGATTTGTTGCTTTCCTCCCTTGGGTAGCTCAAGGCCTAAATCAGGATCATTCCACAGTGGTGTAAATTTTTCTGTTTCTTTTTTCTTTTTGCAATGGGATATTGCTCTGTCGCCCAGCCTGGAGTGTAGTGGCACAGTCACAGCTCAATGCAGCCTCAATCTCCTGGGCTCACATGATCCTCTCACCTCAGCCTCCCAAGTAGCTGGGACCACAGACGTGAGCTGCCACACCCAGCTAATTTGTTAATTTTTTAGTAGCCACAGGGTCTTGATACATTGCTTAGGCTGGTCTTGGACTCCTGGACTCAAGTGATCCACCCACCTTGGCTTCCCAAAGTGCTGGGATTATAGGCGTGAACCAGAGATTTGGGAGTGTCACAGTGTCTTATGAGAGAAAATAGGAAAAAAGTTAATTTCTCCACCACCATCTCTTGGAAGAAACAGTAAACCTGTGTACAAAAATGTTTGAGGAGACATAATAATGTTGGGTTATTTTTCAAGTGCACTAAAAGAAAAAATGAGAAATGAGTTAATTTGCTAAATCAAGCCCACTTTGTGGAGCTGGGGGTTTCCAGATGCATTTGTGTTTGAAATCTAGCCGGTAGAAACTCTGGCTTCTACAAACTCTCAGGTAAATTATGGGTCTGATTGTTTTTTATGTCATGACCTTGAAAGACTGGTTGAAACTTTACATACATACTTTTGCTTTTGATGAGGAGCTATTTTTCTATTCCTTTTAGAGGTGGGTGATGATTCTAATTATTCTGTTCAGATCAGGAGCTAGGTGGGAAAAAAGCATGAACTGCTTGCTTCTCACAAGTAATTTTTACATTAAAATCTTTTGGTGACCTACGCTGAACTTGTGCATTGGATCAGTCTTTGA